TTTCTTATAATATGTTCTGCATACAAGTTGAACAGATAGAGTAAAAGGCTATAGCCTTGTCTGACCCCTTTGCCAATTGGGAACCACTCAGCTTATCTTTTTTTCCTTTTTAATTCTTACTGGTTGTAAACATACCAGACAAATGTATATTTCATGGATTTTGTTTCTTCTGAGTGAATTCATTGCAGTATTCCTTGGAACACAGGGTGAAGCTCACCACCTCAAGTAAAATGAGCACCTTTTATTTAGACATATGCTGTTGCTGTTGCTGTTGCTGTTGTGTGTGTGTTTTTTTAACAGATCAGAGTATATATATGTATGTGTTATCTTATCCTTGTTCCACTGTGATTTATTTGTTTATTTATTTATTTTTGCAAAGCATTTTGCAGATAGAATCATTTATCTCTAGTTTTGGACTTGAACAGTTTATTTTTGGATTACAGTACTCTCAAAATCCTTCAGCAATGGGCTATGGTGGTTGAGGATTTGGGGAGTTGTAGTATAAAAATAATTGATCTTGTAAGTGGTACAAAAACTGGATGTTCCCAAGCTACTGATTTGGATTGCATAGAAACATTTTATGGATAAATTCTAGTATTTTTTAGCATGCCAAAAATTTCTCGCCAGAAATCCCATAGAACTACTGCTCAATAATATACATGACTTTACAGCAGATGGAACAACAATCTCATGCACTAGAAGTCAGCTTCCAGTATTACAAAGTTTTCAGCTTTTGAAAATAGTCTTTCAAAAATGTTCCTTCTTGTCTCTTTAAACAGCATGTGGTTAGAAAATTCCTTAGTTTGGTGTCCAGTCATAACATAGCTGTGCATCTGATTGATCCCTTGCTTCTGGGGCTGATTGATGTAGACTTGGAGCAGCTCAGGACCTCCCATGATGGCAGCCAATCAGAATGCAAGTACTTCTGTACTCCCCGGGACTGCACCACATTTGCACTACTGGACAAAGCTTGGAAACATGAGGTGAGATAGTTTCCTGCAGCTTTATCTAATCATGATAAACTTGACAGCAGTTTTAAAAACTAAATATGCAAATGAAACAGTGAGGGACTTGTTGCTCACAATTAATTTACCATCAGTCTTCTTGGCAAGAAGAAGTCATACAGTAATCTCACCCTTAAGGAAGTGATATTTAGACTGACCTTCCAATAGCATCAGAACTCTGAGGATGCCACAGTCATTTGCCTGTGATGATGATGTATGCTTCCTTTGGCCTTCAGAAAGAGATACCACCTCCAAATGTTAATTCCAAGAGCTGCTATTGCAAGGTTCACCTAAGCATTATTTGTTTTTGCAGTCCAATCATTGTATGTCTTCCTTTTGTCTTAAACATAATA